ACTATGTGACCTTGGTTTCCTTTTTATCTCCAAGCCTGATTTCTGTGTCTGTAAAAATAGAGGTAGTAAGACTTAGCTCCCAGTATCCTGTGAAGATTAAAATGTTCCTGGCACATACTATGTGTTCAACAAATGCTGATTGCCATTTCATCACCCTTCAGAGATGAATGACATAAACTAAATGGTACAAATGTATTGTAGCGTGTGCTTGAAACTATAACCACAAAAATGGACATATTTGTTCATTACATTACCTATGGTCTTCAACTTTAACTCTACTCTATGTTGAATTCCTTTTTCATGGATTTGGGGAAGGGGACGAAATCTGCCCTATTTTTATTTAATCAATGACCCCTTAACACCTTCATTTACTCCCCAGAATCAGGATAACAATTGAAAAAGCACACAAATAGGTTGTCTGTAGTGTCCTTTTATCTAAACAACAACAAAAAAACCCCAGAGAACAGCAGAGACATAGTGTGTTTCCTCTACAAAACAATAAAGAATAATAAGCTGTAAGTTTCAGTGTTAAACACATTAGTTAATAACCATGGATAAGTGACTTCTGCTATCCCAATCTTTCAACTTGTTTTCCTCTCTATAACACTCCCCCATATCATTGTACAGGCTTACTTCTTTTCATCATTCCGCTATCCGATCAAATATCAACTCAGATAGACCTTTCTTTGGCCCATAGTAGTTGAGTGAATGAATGATTGAGTCTACAAAACAAGGTAACACCTTATCTTCCTAACCACCCAGGAATGTTATGAAGAGAGTGGGAAATCACTTTCAGTTCTTAGAAGGGAAAGAAGAGACTATGTATACCTAAACAATTATTTAAAAATCATATTTCAGTAATAACAGAATTTGTGGAATTATATTCACTAGTTTAATGTCCACTGGAGTGCTGTTAAATCCTAGATAGTATATAAAGAGCAACCAAAAGGACATGGGTTCTATCCTCTTTCAGGCTAAAGGGAATTCATCATTAAGTTACTGTGCTGTACCATGTTATGTACTAAGGATATAGTTTCTCAACAGAATAAAGTAAAATAAGGATTACTCCCATTATCAAGATGAAAAATAGTCTTAGAAAGATTAAGTCACTCATCTAAATTCAAAGAGTTAGTGGAGCCTGAAATTAATGCCCATTCTGCTGACTTATTGTGTCTTTCACCTAGTCTATGCTCCCTTATGGAGTATGTGGCCCTTAGATCTAGGATTCTTAGACCAAGGCCAAGCATACCATCTCCAGCTTTGAAACTGGCCTATCTGAAAACAGTAACCAAAATCAAACCCATTGCAGTTGACTTGATTCTGACTCACAGCAACCCTATAGGACAGGGTAGAACTCCCCCATGGGGTTTCCAGGATAAGGTGGTGGATCCGAACTGCCGAAATTCTGGTTAGCAGGCGAGCTCTTAACCACAGTGCCAACAGGGCTCTGAAAACAGTAAACTCAGTAAGAAAATAGAGCTTTGTTAGCTTAGTTACTGGTAGCCTGAAATCTTAGTCAAAAGCGGGGCTTCAAATTGGTTCTAAATTGTTCAGTTATGGCTAATGGAAACAAGGCAGGGCTTCCAACTGGTTTCAAGCAGTTCATTTATGGCCGACGGAAACAAGGGCAGCATATGTGTTGTGTAGCAACCAAATCTCTTGTGTGTCCAATTTTCACCCAAGTAGGAAACAGGCAGCGTTGCCCTGCTCAAAGATGGCAGCTGATTGTGGCTGATAGTGGCCAACCATGCCATTTTGAATGTATGTTGCTCTCCACCTGAAAATTTCAGGATCCTGATGTGGGACATTGGATTATAGGCAGGCCTGTATGTATGTGTGCTGCCCTTGTTTCTGTTGGCCATGATCGAACCACTTCAGACTGGATCAAAGCCCTGTCTTGTTCCCATCGGTCAAGACTGAACAGTTTAGAATCGGTTCAAAGCCCTGTTGGAAAGAGAGCTGAGTAATCTGAAATCTTGTAGGACTGGAAAAGCCAAATTCTTCTCTGCAAACTAAACTTAGTGAGGGCAAGGGCAAGGAGATGAGACATGACAGAAGATAAGATCGGGGTGAGAAAAGTCTAATCCCCTAGAATAGTGTTTCCCAATCATTCTTGAATAATAAAAATCACTGGCCTATCTAATACAGCTTCCCAGGTCCTTCCCCAGGAAATTTTGATTCATTAAATCTAGGGTGGGGCTCAGAAATCATATTTTAACAAGTACTCCAGGCAAATTTTATCATCAGGTAAGTTTAGGAAATAATGGATCTGCCCTCATTCAATTGCCACCTACAAGTCAGTGATTCTCAATGTGGGGGGTCCCATGACCAGCAGTATCAGTCTTATGTGGGGACTTGTTAACTACTGAGTCAGAATCTTTGTCAGTGGGGCTCAGCAACCTGTATTTTAACAAGTTTTCCAAGTGATTCTGATACATGCTGAAGTTTGAGACTCACTGTACTAAAGAAACCCCAAACACGACCAGCAAGAACTATGATTGTTCCACCCCCAGAGCAATCCTCAGGTACAAGAAATGGCATAAGATAAGGTACAATGGTAAAGCTGTACAGCCCCCAGAAAGGGCATCCACCCCAGATAATGCCCTCAAGGGAGACCCTCTCAGAGAATAAAGAGGCTGGCTGACCAGAGGACTCACTCCACTGCCAGGGCAGGGCTTCCTTGTCTAACAGGGCACGATATCTGCTTTGGACCAGAGACTACTGTGTATTGTTTCGTATTTCCTCCCTTTTCCAAATGGCAGTTATTATAGTTCTCTGGTTATATCTCCACCAGTGTATACTGGGTGTGTCGGGGTGTGGGGCAGTTTATAATTTAACTATAGGTGAATAGACCTCTCGTAAGATGGATCTGAAGATGACTGCATTATCAATTGCAGATCCTGAAGTTAATATTAAATGCAGTAATTGAGTAAGAAATTAGGTTTTCTCCCTTTAGGGACATAAATTTATTACATACAGGTGTGAGCATTTTTTTAAAGTGAATGTGTGGGAAGGAAGGTATCCATGGATGTTAGGTACCCAAAGGAGCAGCGTTTCAAACTGGTTCTAAACTGTTCAGTCATCGCCCAGGTAAAAAAGGGCAGCATATGTGTTGCATAGCAACCAAATCTCTTGCATGTCGGATTTTGATCCATGGCACAGAGGTTAAGTGCTGCTAATTAAAAAGTCAGTGGTTCCAACTTACCAGCCACGCTATGGGAGAAAGTTGTGGCAGTCTGCTTCTGTAAAGATTACAGCCTTGGAAACCCTATGGGACAGATCTACTCTGTCCTATAAAGTCGCTGTGACTTGAATTGACTTGATGGCAAGGAGTTTGGAGTTCTCTGGGTTAGGAAACAGCACCGTCTCACTCAAAGATGGCAGGCGGTCGAGCAGCTTTGAATGTCTGTGGCTTTCCACAATCCTGCTAATAATCCAATCTCCCGCATCAGGCTCCTGAAAGTTTCCTGATGCAGGAGATTGGGTTATTGGCAGGACTGTGGAGAGCGACACACATTCAAAGCGGCGTGATCGGCCGCCATCAGCCTCCATCAGCTGCCATCTTTGAGGGGGGCAAAGCTGCCTGTTTCCTACTTGGGTCAAAATTCAACGCCAAGAGATCTGATTGCTATGCAACGCTTATGCTGCTCATTTCCGTCAGGTATGACTGAATCTTTTAGAACTGGTTCGAAGCCCTGCAAAGGAGGAATTTATAATAGCCATTTTGCTATTCGTTCATGGCATTCACTTTTCATTTACCAAAAGCCCTTGATATTAGTAGGAATATTAATTCTAGAGAGATATTCTCTAGTGTTCAGAGATGGAACAAATGCCCCAGGGTAAGCCAATCAATCGATTTCATCCATGGGACTTCAACGGTCCAGGTGTGGGTATATGACCTAAACCAGTTCAGAATGCATGGCAGGGCATAAGCTATCTTTCTCTGGACTAGAACTACTGGTCTGATTTTACTACTATCAATAAAGGCAGCCTTAGGATGAAACTGACACACACAGGGAAAATCCTAAAGAATCACAGACACTAAGCCTAAGCTCTAATCAAATTGTGCCTCAAGTCCACATGACCTCTGATTATTTTTAGTTATATTAATCAATGATGTTTAGTAACTACTTAAACCTGTTTGCAGTGGGTTTCTTGTGACATGCAGGAAAGCATTCACTTAGAAAAGGCAAATTAAACTATCAGCATAAATTTGCATGTTGCAGTAGAACACGTGAGTGCAAGTCTGAATAGAAAAAATGATTGTTCAGTTTTAGATTACTGATTATATTACCTTAACTCTTCCCACAACTTCAACTTATAGTTGATTTTCCTTTTAATTTCCCTCAATAAAAATATACTGGCCTTCCTCAAAGAGTTCCTCCCACAAAATATATCATGTTCACATACATTTCACATTCTACTATTCAGAGAAATTTGGCTGGCAGAAACTGTGGGTTTGCAGGGTCATTTACATTTTCATTAAACTGGGTTGGGGTTTGAAGGTTTGAATTAATCACATTACCTTCCCTTCCAGATTGTGAACCAATTAAAAATATACACAGGAATCAAATAAGGATTAAAATACCAGCTTTAATATATTGTTAAGTGAAAAAAGTAAAGTTCCAAACAGCATGTATACTATGCTACCATTTGTGTAAAAAAATCGACATACACACGTACTTACACACTTATATGATTGCAAATAAATACATGGAGCATCTCTGGAAGGATACATAACTGGTAATAGTGGTTACCTTTGGACAGTGAGACTGGGGGACTGAGGCTAGGGATGAGGAGGAAACTTACCTTTTACTTCATATCCTAGTATACTGTTTGACTTTTACCATAAAACCAAATCCATTGCCATTGAGTCGACTCTGACTCATAGTGACCCTTTAGGACAGAGTAGAACTGCCCCACAGGGTTTCCAAGGAATGGCTGGTGAACTCAAAAAGCCAACCTTTTGATTAGCAGCCGAGCTCTTAACCACTGTGCCACCAGGGCTCCATAGGCAGGTGTTATTTTTTTTCTGAAAACAATCTATCTATTAAAATAAAAAGAATAAAATTATATACCAGCTTTACTGCTGATAGAGCTGGATTGAAGAACATGGCTTGGACCTCACACTGGGACTCCCTACCTCAAAGAGAGAGTTGGGTCCACAGAGCAGACACTTACCCAGCCATGTAGTGAAGAACTGCACTATTTCCCATATCTTGCTGTGAGCAATGAGCTCAGGAGCCAAGAGGGGCCTAGACTGCCTATCCATCATAACCCTTTTCTCAATTTCATCAAGTTACTCCTTCTGCCACATGGAAGATGGAATGAGTGGCAAGGGGAAATGGGCAGAAACCTTCTTTCAAATACTTCTGAGAGTTCTAAGTTCTCCTTTTTCTTTGAGTCAGGAACATGGAGAGAAGCAGAGGTTAGATTCCATTATATTCTTGGAAGTTTTTGTGCCCTTAAGCCACAAGAGTTAACACCCAAGATTCTGGGTGTCTTAGGAAGTCCTGCTCCCACCTCTGTAAAGCTAGTGAGCAGTTCTGCTTTTGCCCCCAGAAGGCTCTGAAATGAGTCAGAATAGGACACTAATTAAATTAACTCCGAGGCTACATTATTCCATAGGCTGAAAATTCCCTTACTACTTTATACCCAATTTAAAATTACACCCAGCCACATTATCCAACATAGATTACAAAAATTATATAATGAGTCCCAAAAACAAAATAAAAATACTCCAAATAATACAATGTCAACAACATAATGAAAATGCCTTAATTTAAACTATATGAAATCCCCTCCAACTATTAAACTCTGAAGGAAAAATTAATGCCCCAAATTAAATTTCTTAAAGTCTAAAGGAATTAAAAGTCCAAAATTCTGCACTTCCCAATTTCTTGTTCTTCTCATTTCAGCCATAGAGAGCTCACTTAGATGTCTGGACAGATACGGGGTTCCTTCAGCAACAGAAGCCTGGGTTCTTCTTCTTGAAAGGATGTAGTTCCTTCAGGATTTCAGGAGCTCAATTACTCTAAACCCACAACTGTATGTCATACATTTTCAGAGTCCAAAGGGTCGATTAGGAAATTTTGATAGCACACCAATTCTCAGCCACTAAAACTGTTATAGCAAATAAATTTATGCTCCCAGGACATAGTACGTAGGACAATACACACCCACATTGCTGTTGTCAGCCAAATATTATAGCAGAGACTTAGTGGCATCAAAAGAAAGAAAAGTAGACAGAGAAAACACGGGAGAAAAGAGAGTATCTTCTTGATTTCATCCTCAGCAGGATGCCAGTCTGTTTTTGCCAGTAGTCTGGACTCCATGATCTGCGAACTTAAACTAATTTGGAAGGTATCTCCCAAGTGGTTGATTATACTACCATGAGTCTCAGCCTCAAATATGCAGAAGTCCAAGGTCTTATTTGCCTGTTAGTGGTAATACAGCTTCTATCAGAACCCCAATGAGAAAGCATTGGCTTTGGTCAGGTACTTCTCTCCAAAAACCTTATTTTTCAAACTTTATTTCCTAGGCTTTGATTAACCTTCACTAATGCCTTCAATAATGGAAGGTAAAAAGGTCCCTTCTATTACTTACTTTTCAGGTGCAGTAGGTCTCACCCTTACCTACACATGAGTTTCTTAGGGCCAGCTGAAAAACGAGTTAAAGATTCAAAACATAATATGAACAAAAATTTATTAGATTTATCTACTAATGCCAGTACTGGAAACATCATTAATCCTACAGATCATCCAGTACTGATTCTAGGTCATACATTCCACAGTCCTGCTGGGACACCAATCCTACCAGTCCCTACAAGAAAGCAAAGCTTGTTTTCAGCTTTTCCAAGTTCCAGCAGGAGCCTTACCCACCTCATATGCTGGGACTTCGAAGTCCCCTAAGAATCAAATCTAAAATCTAATCTAAAACTCCTCAAACAGTCTCGCTTGGTACAGGAAAGAAAACTATGTCATAGCCTGATTCCAGATTTCTGCTCTTTCATTTTGAGGTCCTGGACATACCTGCAACCCTTGCTAAACCCAGCCTCTGCCGTGACTGAGGATTCTAGCTAGAGCCTGGTTTAATATCCCACTGGGCTGGCACAGTCCACTTGTGCTAAATCTGCCTGCACAGCACGCATTTAAAACCCACTGCATGTATGCAGACATCAGCCAGAGATACTGCAAACAAGAGATACTAATGCCATTTGAGTTACACCAGAAACCTTGATCTTTCCACTTGGAGTTCGGTCCCCAAATGCTTGCCCTATTACCAGTTTTGTAAGGTTTCTCGGCCTGTGCGTATGTACTAAAATACAAAATTATTACCCTTTTGATTCTGAACCATTTGAGTAATAGGTACAAGAATCAGAAAGGGAACAAAATTTCAGCCTTTTAGTACTGTTAGAATTAGGAATATAACTTGGACAGAAGATCAAAATGGGCTTCCTACTCCTCTTCAAAATTAGAATTTTGAAGCCACCTGGGGAGAGAGATGAGACTGCAGACACCCAGCCAGTCACATGGAACATATCAGGAAGCTTCACAGCTCAATGAGTGCTGAAAGTTCAAGTGCCCAAAAGGGTGAGGTGAGAGGTGTTCAGCTACCTTTAACTTATTAACACTGCCCAAGTGCCCAAGATAAAAATATGGGCCCTTGATGTCAGACTTTACCGTCCTCACTAATCAGATAAATCAATCCTCCTCCTATGGGGAGGAACCAGTGAAAAGAGTGGACAGAAGAGCAAAATGTTTCTTCCAAAACCTTCTGAAAGGGTGAAAGTTCCAATTTTTTTGCCAAGCAAAAACATGCAAAAAGGGAGAAGATGGTTCTCCTTATAAACTGGAAAGTAATCAAGACTGTCTGTGCCTGTAGACTTTACACATAATTTCATATATTTGGCAAATTTCACGATGACATCTAAGATGTTTTTACCAAATCATAGACATAGATATGGAAATCATCATCAAATTTGATAAAGTACACAGAGGGTTTCGCTTCTACCTGATGAATAACCATGCCTGTTCTCTTGGAGCCATCATCTTTGGCGTATTCCACCTGTTTGCCTACTAGGCTGTCTATGACTTCTCCAGGTTCCCTCTCTGCTGGAGGAGAATGATTGGAATCTTGAAGGATGCGGAGGTCACCATCTTTATAATCATCTAATAGCTGGTACATATACAATACAGGATCTTTCTCATAAGTAATGTAAAACCATGTGCTCATGACAGGCGCCTGAGCTAAAACCATCCCTCTCCATTCATTTTTGGAACCTTCCTCTGTTTCAAAAATATGTTCCACTGCTTTGCCAATCATGATTTCCGATAAATGTGCATCACTGATTCTAGATGATGCAACTCTATTAGGAAGGACTTCAAGTGATGACACTCTTTCATCTCTGTGAAGTTCCAATCCATAAACACAGTCAAATCCATCATATTTGATGAGATACAGAGAGGGATTTACAGGTACCTGATCCAGAACGGTTCCCTTCCACTGTGTTAGAGGTTCATCTCCGTCTTTCCATCCGTGCTGAATCCTGCAGCCCACGAAGTTCCTCCGAGGCTGGGAGATGGGTCGACTCCGATGCTTTTTGTGTGTAGCCTTCCTCTTCATCACGGTAACAGACACGCTATCATGTCCCGCGCCTGTCCTGGACCGCTGCCCTGAAGCTGCCTTTCCAAACTGGGTCTTCATGCCTGCGAGGAGCACAGCAGTGAGGCGGGGCGAGGAAAGAAACTAAGAAGAAAAAAAAATACAATCCATCACACAATGAGCTTTTTCTCCTTTCCAGTGAATCCCGTGCGCCCGCGCCTCTTTCTCCCGTGACCTACACAGCAAAGATTGATATCAAGGCACCCTGGCCGACTGCCTGAAGTACCCTTCCTCCCCAGCTAATGCCCCACTACGCTACAGGGAAGGAGCCGCGATTAGAACAGCTGAAACAGGGTGCACTCCAGAGCCCACCCTGTGACCAACACTATAGAGGCCAGGAGGGCGCAACTACCCACCGACCCCCAATCGCGGGCCTCACATGCGCAGATCGGACAATTCGCTGCTGTCTTAGCTGTGATCCTGTGGCGACAACTCGGATTCTTGCAAAACTTGCTTGGGAGGGGAGGGTCCGCAGGCGAGGATCACGTCTAGGAGGGAAGCACTCCACTCGCGCGCCCTCCGCCTGGCAGTCCTCGGCGGCTGCCCCTCTGCCACATCGGGCTCCCCCCCGCCGCTGCCCCGCCGCAGTCTCCTCCCTCTTTCCGTAGCGCAGCTTCCTGCCAGGAGAGAGACCTCCCCTTCCTGCCAAACACTGAGCGCCGCCGCAGCCCCCACCTCCACCAGAGCTCTGGGCCGGGAGGCTCTGCTGGGCTCCCGGCCCCGCCCCTTCCCCCAAACTGTGAGCGACCACGTCCAGCAGCACCCCTCCCCCACCGCCTACCACCCCTCCCCCAGTTTAGGGCCCCAGGCTCTCCACCCCCTTCTCCATCTCCAGTCTCTCAGCGCGTCTGTCCCATCTGCTTTCCATCTTCCAGGAATTCGCCTTTTCCTTTTTCACCGTGCCCTTACAGAATTATTCTTTATATATATAAATCTGCCTTTCCTGTCATTTAAGGGGATTTGGGGCAGGGCGAAGAGAAATGTGCCAGTGCTTATTCTGCCATCTTGACCCAATCTTTTATGTAATTTTTTCTGACTGATATGGTTAATGTCCACAGTTACCCTCCTGCCCCAATGCACACACAAACTCTTTAACGCCCTCAGTAAGTTTGAACAGCACAAAGGCATTTGGAGACAAAACAAACATTGCTTTAGGAAAAGCATTATTTTCCTTGAAAAACAGAAGCATGTACACAGTTGTGTTCCTCTGAAACGATTCCTCCTCAGTATAGTCTCAACCACTAACAAATACAAATTTTAAGAAAAGTAATTTAGTTATATTTCAAAGAGAAAACTGAGGCGGGGGGAGGTGGATAATTATAAACTGTATGTCCCATGCCAGCCTTTTTTGGAGACCGGTAGCTGTCATAACACAACTTTTCATAGTAACACATACAGTACAACCGATCAAAGCTGCAAAAGTGAACATATTCATTAATAGATCCAAAGTTATAGCCTCTCTGTATAGGAAGCAAAAGCATATAAACTTAAAATTATGCTTAGTAATCAGTGTTTCAGCATTCTATCTTAAAAATGATTTAATTATCCAATGATTACCCATTAATTAGCTCCAATCAGTATCAGTTCAAGGTTTCAAAGTTACCTAAAGATCTTGGAAATTATATAATTTTCAAGCCTGTATACCACAACATAATTACTGTTGAAATAAAGTTTGCCAGAATTATAATATGATTTACTTAAGCACACATTTATATGTTTCATAATCCTAAATATTTAGTAAAAGGTAAACTAGGAAATCCTATGGGGCAATTCTACTCTGTCATATAGGGTCCCTATGAGTTGGAATCGACTAGAGGGCACACAACAACAAACTTGTATAAGACAGGAAAAGCATAGTCAACTAGAATAAAAATGTATGCTTATACTTAATAATGGTAACTCACAGAAAACAGTTGTTTTTATTAAACCAAAATCATTAAGCTAGTCTAGTTTTTTTCAAGGATCTATCTAAATTATCTGAACTTGAATTTTTAAAAAAGTTTCTGGTTTAGTTTCTCTAATAATTTTTTAACAGAAAATATTTGAGCTTTAATTTCCTTTATTTTAAGGACTTTTAGGGATATTCAACTTACAAAAGTGCTCATTTAACTCTAAACCAATCAGAATAAAGTTATTGAAGGAATACTGTAATCTTATTTGATAATACCATCCAGAGGTAGAAAAATACTACATTTTCATTACCCTGTCTTCATCGCGCTTTAAATAATCTTTTAAAGAAGTAAATTTAAAATAACTATTGTCTTTTTGAGACTTCATTACACCAGTCAAAATCAACAATCCATCCTTTTTTCAGTGCACTTTCCAAATGAATCAATTTATTTCAAAGAGTTTCTCAAAGTAGCTACTGAAGGCCCAACTCATAAGATATGCGCAAGAAGCAGTTTTTCTTGGAAGAGAAAAGAAATGGAATTTAAAACAACCTCATGAAGAGCTGACAAAGTCTTCCTCCTTTTCGCTGACCCTTTACTTTACCAAGCATGAATTCCTTCTCCAGGGACTGATCCCTACTGATAACATGTCCAAAGTACCTGAGAGGAAGTCTTGTCATCCTTGCTTCTAAGAAGCATTCTGCCTGTACTTCTTCTAAGACAGATTTGTTTGTTCTTCTGGCAGTCCATGGTGTATTCATTATTCTTCGCCAATACCGTAATTCAAAAGCATCAATTCTTCAATTTTCCTTATTCATTGTCCAGCTTTCACATGCATATGAAGCGAATGAAAACACTATACCTTGGTCAGGCACACCTTAGTCCTTACAATGACGTCTTTGCTTTCTAACACTTTACACAGATCTTTCGCAGCAGATTTGCCCAGCGCAATGCATCCTTTGATTTCTCGACTGCTGCTTCCATATGAATTGATTGTGGATCCAAGTAAAACAAAATCCTTTACAACTTCAATCTTTTCTCTGTTTATTGTGATGTCAGTTATTGGTCCAGTTGTAAGGATTTTTGTTTTCTTTATGTTGAGGTAATCCGTACTGAAGGCTGTGGGCTTTGATCTTCCTCATAAGTACTTCAAGCCCTCTTCACTTTCAGCAAGCAAGGCTGTGTCATCTGCATATTGCAGGTTGCTAATGAGTCTTCCTCCAGTCCTGATGCCACATTCTTCTTCCTGTAGTCCAGCTTCTCGGACTATTCCCTCAGTATACAGACTGAATAATTATCTTGAAAGGATACAACCCTGACGCACACTTTTCTTGACTATAAACCACGCAGTACCCCATTGTTCTGTTCGAACGACTGCCTCTTGGTCTATGTACAGGTTCCTCCTGAGGAAAATTAAGTGTTCTGGAATTCCCATTGTTCTCAATGTTATCCATAATTTGTCATGATCCACACAGTCGTATGCATTTGCATAGTCAATAAAACACAGGTAAACATCTTTCTGGTATTCTCTGCTTTTAGCCAGGATCCATCTGACATTAGCAATGATATCCCTTGTTCCACGTCCTCCTTTGAATCCAGCTTGAATTTCTGGCAGTTCCCTGTCAATGTACTGCTGCAACTGCTTTTGAATGATCTTCAGCAAAATTTTACACACAGAGAAGCTATTGCAATTCCAAGCTCTTTTCTGTAAGGGTAACCCATTTCAAAAAAACTACCTTAGGTTGCTATGAGACCCAGTCCAATTTCCCTTGGACCCAGTCCAAGGAAAGTATTCAAACAAAAACTATCTTGAGGCCTCTGTCGGACCAAGTCTGACTTCCAGTATCAGATCCAGTTCGACTTCCATTGGACCCAGTCCAAGGAGAATATTCACGTAATGCTAATGGGAACTCACCACAAAAACTGAAACCCAAGCACCAAACAAATTCTCTGAAGTGGAAAGAAAAAGACAGAGCAATGGGAATCCAGATCACCAAATAGACAGAGCAAAGGGTAACTTACCAAGGAAAGGGTGTCCAAAACTGCTCAAATATAAACCCAGAGAGTTCAACACCAAAATAAATGGAACTAAAAAAGGAGAGATTCACCAAGTTCCCCAGCCTGGTGAGGAAACGTTGTGTACAAAGGGCCCTCGTTGGTACTATACTTTCTCCCTCATCAAAAATGAGTGCTCAGCGATTGTCTTTCTGGGTCCCACTTCTGACACCAAAACCTTTAAAAAATTAATCAATACTCAAAGAAATGGAAGCATAAGGTTTATTGCAAGCAGTTAGTCAATATGCATATAGAGAGACCATTCTGATTCTAAGAAAAACAAAAACAAACAAACAAACAAAAAAACAAATGGCTCTATGTAGGCTACAATGAAGCTTATAAAGAGGAGGGAGAAGAACAGAAAATCAACCATTGGCTAATCTTTTTTTTTTTAAATTAAGTAATTTATTTATTTATTGTACTTCAGGTGAAGGCTTACAGAACAAATAGTTTCTCATGAAACAGAAGTACACATGATGTTTTATGATGTTGGTTAACAACCCCACAACATATCAACCCTCTAACTTCTCAACCTCTTTTTTTTTGGTGAAAATACACATAGCCAAAGATACACCATTTCAAAAATTTCTACATGCACAGTTCAGTGACATTGACTATGCTCTTCAAATTGTGCTGTTATTCTCATTTAAGATGAAGGCTTGCAGAACAAAATAGTTTCTCATTTAACAGTTACTACAAATGTTGCCCTATGACAATGGTTAACAATCTCACAACTCATCAACAATGTCCTTACTCAACCTTGGGTTCCCTATCACCAGCTTCCTTGTCCCCTTCTGCCTTCTGGCCCTTGTCACTGGACTCCTGTACCTCGTTAGTCTCATTTGGTTTTACGGGGCTGTCCACTCCCAGGCTGAACAGTGAATCTCACAGGTAACTTCACCACTGAGCTAAAAGGGTGTCTGCTGTGATTGATTGATTGAGCCCTGTCCCCCTGCCCCTTTACTGAGAGCCAAAAAAAACTTGTTGCCATCGAGTGGATTCCGACTCATTGCAGCCTTATAGGAAAGAGTAGAACTGCCCCATAGGGTTTCCAAGGAACGGCTGGTGGTTAGCAGCCAAGGGCTTAACCACAGTGCCACTAGGGCTCCTTGCTGAGAGCAGCTGATATCAATTTACTAGGTGATCTCTGGCCTGGCTGCTCCTTCCCTCATTCATATGCACATAACTTTAAGTGTAGTCTGGAGGCTTTAAAACACTAAAACATAGCTCATCTCTCAGGAAGCAAGTGAAATTACCTATAGTTATTTTTTTTTATTAGTTAAACTCTGAATTAGCTTATGCTTAACCAATGTCTTCATCACAAAGAGATTTGTAAAGATTTAATCATTGTGTTAATCTGTGCCTCAGTGTCCTTATTATTAATACTCCTTAAAGCTGGGGAAAAAAACAAGTTAATAGTTTTACAGTTTGGGGGGGTCAGGTTTTTACTGTTAAACTTTTGTTTCTTGGGTAAGAGAGCTCCTTAAAATCAAATTAAGATGTCTGTTATTAATATTTTTATTTGACACCTTCTATCGTATGACATTTAGGTTTTTTTAAAATGCTTATGAATGATTC